GTGTGTGTGTATGTGTGTGTTTGTGTGTGTGTGTGTGTGTGTGTGTGTACACTTGTGTATAGTGTGTAGAATGCGACTGTTGTATATTTTGAAATATAACTTTAGTATTTTAATAAGCGATAGCTACCGGATCTCAGTTTACATACCATAAACCCGTGTAACTCGGAGCACGCCTTGGCAGCCTGGTCCTCGTCTTCTAATAACCCTAAACCTACGAATAACTCGGCGAGTGCTTCAGACACCTCATTGACCGTGGCCCTCTCACCGAGTTCCTCTAGGGTAGTCACTAAGTACTCGATCGAATCTTCATCAGTTGAATTCAGATCGACGACCTTACCCAATGCCTCTTTAGCATTTGCTGACATCTCGTCAAACTTGTATGCGACTATTGGGGAGTGAACGATCTCAGTGCCCAAATATGACCGCACAAGTGTGAGTAAAATATGTATTGCAATGAATCTGCCTGTGCAGACAGCAGACACGCGCTTGTATTCTTTATAATAATAATAAAATTTGGTAGAAAAATTATCATTTGATTGATTTTTTTTAATGTTTTTTACTAAAACAAATATAAAAATTTTAAGGTCCCTCCAATTTCCTTAAGTTCGGTCCTTATTTATATTCTCCTAATCCAAAATCGGCCCAAAAATGATTATCACAATTTTTGGCGCCAAAATCCCAAAATTCCAAATTTGGTATCAGGAGCTTTATTCAAAGGTCTACGACACAAGCAGTCTTTAGTCCTCTTCGTCCTTCTGTTCCTTATAGTCTTTAAGTGAAACTCTGAACTCTAACGCTGGACGTGGACTGCTTTTATAGTCCGCCGGGAGCCTGGGACCTATCTCTATCTATTCCCGAACGAACTTGTACTACTAACATCCTATGCTATTAACTATAGCTAGAACACTCGTAGTGAGAGGGACAGGCACGGACCTAGAAACCCCTCTGCTACGACGTTCTCGAACTTTCTCATAGCGTCATCGTCTACGTATATTCGTAGACACTTTGCTCTGTTCGTGAATATACGTAGACACTTTAAGTATGACCTATGCAGAATGACACTTAAAAAATATCAGGGCCTGGTTATATACGAATAACCTTGGCTTGGGCCCTGAAATAAAAGTACAATATGAATTTCCGGAATCATGACTCATCATTCGGGACCCGCAAAAAATCAGGGTACTGAAGAGTCGAACTTCATTATAAGTCCCGCCGAAACTCCTACAAAAATATAACTAATTACACCCGGTGTGTGTGGAATTTGGCTGGGTCAAAACAAATACAACATTATTTTTTTTCCCTCTATTATCGATAAGGCTAAATATCGAGTACTGTACCATACTTGAGGTGAGCTTTCCAAAAAAAAATCTGCGTTCCTCATAGCTGACAGAACTGGTTGTTAACGTGATAGTGCAGGCAACTTTCTCATTTACTCATGCTGTCAAATTATTGCCGGTTGACTTGGCGTATCGTAGAAGCAAGAAGAATACTTCTTTCTGGCTGATATCTGTAAGAATGAAATGTATATGACATTAGGTTTCCACGGCTGACGTATTTCCTATTGCTGTAATCTTTCTCTCCGACAAACTGGATCCAGAACAAAAAGGAAACTCGCGCTTGATGGCACTCCTCCACGCTGAAGTAAAGTAAACACCAATGTGTTGTGCGACTAACTCGGTATATCTCGTCTCGAAAGAGTCAGTTATCTTGTACTTATGAATGTAAGTCAACGCGATCCATCGGTGCCAGTACGTACTAATCCTGTTCTACCATAAAGCCGCTTCCGCACTTGTCATAAATGCCCGTATCGCTCTATCTCGCTCCTGCTTATAACAACCAGTCGGTACACATTGTGCCTGCCAAACAGTGTTGCGCTTTGCCACGCTCTGGCACACCAATCGGAATACGGTACGCACGCATATCCGAAATATGCCCTCTGTACGATTTGACGTTCACCCGCATCCGCACTACATGATATACCGGTGGGTACAAAACGACGACATCTGTAGGCCCCATGCAGTCAACATGCGGTTTATAAGGTGTCTTAGTGGGTCGAAACATGACCACCTGGTCGATATTGGACATCGGCATATCCTCTCGTAACTTGTTGACCGCCCTCTCTTGCGCAAGCTGCATCATATCTTATATCGCTCACGCCTTCTTGTCAAACTTCATTGGCTCTGGCTATAACAATTCTGATGTAGCGAAGTCCCACAGATCCTTCCCTAGAACGGACCAGGTTGCTGTCTGCATGATGTGAGAAAACCCGACCATTCGTCGACAATGTATGATGTGCCAGTCATGTGGTAGACGATCGCGTTGCACTATATGTCGATATGAACTCGGCTACCGCATCCGGCCAGAACGCATCCTTTCCTTCGGGCCGGGCAGGAACCTTCATAACCACTGGTTACATGTCTCCTTCACATGACTTCCACAAAACTACTACCTTGGTGCCTTCCTTTCTGGGCCGGATGTATTATGATGTTTATCTCTGAACATCAGGACGTGAATGCTTCCGCAATGAGAGGGCTATTCTTGCCAACAATGAGCTATCGTTGCCAACCCTATGACACAGTCTGCTGTTCAACTTGCCTATTCCCCCTATTTCCCTATTCGAAACTATGTTCGTGTCGCTTCATCGGTCTTCCTGTCGCCATTTTTGGTATTACAAGGAGTATATAGTTGTACATGTCGGGAATCTGAGTATGAGTAACAATACAAATGCCAGGCAGCACCGAATGCCCTTGCTCGTGGTGGTTGACAAAGAACCCCATGGCGCAAACCAACCGAATCCCCTCGACGAGCGATACATACGGTAAACGTATCCACTATGTCCGCCAACAGACCTTTTGGCAGATTCCAACCCAGCTTATTCTGGAGCAACAAAAAAACCCTAAACCCTGAAACCCTAAGAGCTTACAGAAACCTTTGTAGAGAACGGGGTGGCGGTTGTTTCTCACGGGGTACTTCTACGTGTTTAAAAGCGACGGCCTATCATTCTCGTCTCTGTTGGAAACAGTATCGGTAGGCGAATCTGTGGTCCGTACATTGTGTTTGTGTGAGACCGAGGTTCCACACCCTCCGACTCTAAGTGTAACTCTGGACCCTTGTCCGACACCCGCCGACCACGCTCTGGTTCGTACTGAAGAACTATCAACTGTTGCTCGGACCAACCAAGACCTCGTGTATCTTTACATTATCGTCGTCACCGACGCGAGCATTACCTTTCACTTTTTGCTGACTTGGACATCGTTGCCAGTTTCGTTCCTTTTCTCGCACGGCCTCAGTCAACGCCTGGTCTTCGTCACCCACCAGCTGTCGCATCAGCTACACCGGCAACCGAGGCTTGCCCTCGTTCCGAAAGACCTCATGTGCTATATTTACATCTACGCACTGGACCTCTACTGGACCACGCGCATTCTCAGGTACAAACGTCACCCCATTACATGTCCATAAATTGTCATCGACGGCAGGCCCCATGTTGGCCTCGGTATTACTGGACATTCTGTCCCAACCACTATCATCGCGTCAGCTCCGCCCGAACTATCACATCCCCCAAACTCCAAAGAACGTTTATATGGTACACAAGGATTACCAATCGCATCACTTACCTGAGGCTGATCGATGCCCTCCTTGGAATGTGACCTCACATCCTCAATCACTGGCCTCGTATCGACAGGTAGCACCTCCTGGCCCATATCCTCTGTGGTAGCATTTGCCGGCTTCTCTTCAATGAGCTCGCGGCCCGCCACGATGCGAGCAACCCTCTCGGCCGCGGACTCTACCTGGCGCTGTTTCTCTTCCGCAACTTCTACTCTACCTGTATTACAACCACTCCTGGACTCCTTCTCAGCTGTCAACCTTAGAGCGTTGATCCCTGTCGGTCTGCTTTACCGAACTCGACCGTACATATGTAACGGTCTACTTAAAGAGTTTGAGTAAAAGTCAAATAGTATAAGGCGCGGTAACTTCCATGCAATATTTCAAAAGCTACTTATATGAAACAACATTTGAACCATGCAATGTGAAAATGATAACAGACGAGACCTCTGGGGAAGTAATGGAAAGTATTGTTAAATGTGTGTCAGTAAATGTAGAGAAACTTGCTGAATATTTTAAGAAAGGGGTTGGCAGCAATTCTCTTGAAGCTCATACTAAACCCCTTGGCACGTTGCTGAAAAATGTGTCAGAAATTCATAATAATAAGTCAATGACATTGTTCAATGAAAGTAATGCTGAAGCTGCAGCTGCAGCAAGATGCGCTACTGTGACGGTAGAACATGAGTTCAAGGATAGTGAGAAAGGTCATAAGACACAAGTTGAGGATGAGGACGAATCTCAACCACAGAACAGCATGCATACGGAATAACTTAAAGTGGATAATGCAACAAACACCATAACACAAACATGTATGAGACAAAAGACCTATCTTGCAAGATGTCCAAGAATAAGAGATTGGTCATCCTAAACTCAGGACATTAATACGTAAACTTTGCAACACCTGTGGGGATTGTGAAAACAACCAGAACGTTAAAAGCGATATGGCTTCACACCACTAAAACTGTTAAAAAAAGTTAAACACCATGGCACTGATTAATTATTAAGACCTAGTTAAGTTGCCCATGTCCGATCATACGACGTCACAGTTATGTCTGCCATTTTCTTAACTTATAGCTTCGAGGTAGAATATCTTGTGCGCGTCAGGCACCAAGACTGCACGAAAAAAACTCGGAAGTTATATCTACTGTATATATTGACCACGGTGGTCAGCAATTTTGGCGATGGACCACTGCTTAGAGTTTGGCGAACATGAAACCACCGTAACGACTTTACTCTCCGACATGTGCCATAAACGAGGAATACCACACGCTGACCTCAGAATCTAGATGCCAATGAAACTATATACAGATGTAAGACAACATGCATACACGGCCAGTGAAAAGACTATAAAGGTCATTGGCTCTACCATTTTAAATGCGTTCAACTACGATGAATGATGCTCTCGCGCATTACTTTAGACTTACTAAAGAGACTTAAACGTTGGGATAGTAAGTACAACGTACAAGTGAGTTGCTTATCTTGAATGTGTGTAAACCATTTTGTGTGACTTATTTATCCTTTATTATGATATCCCTGTCTCATATCTATGTTTGAGAATATCGTGGTATCATTCATTCTTCTACGTAATCCGGTAATCTTTGGTGATCGGAAATATGAGTTGGTTCAAAAGCGTCTATATGGCTCATATCTAAGCATAACCGTCTTTTTTGTCAATGTCCCATCAGAATTGAGCTGGTCTACAGCTAAAAGTACTAAGGCAACTGAATGTCCTATCATAATTGAAGTGGTCTACAGCTAGAAGTACTGGGGCAACTGAATGTCCCATCAGAATTGAACTGGTCTACAGCTAAAAGTGGAGTGCGTTCATAGTTTACTTCTATACCCAATCATCCAACCAGCCGTTAGCTTCATCAATGACAATATGAAATATAATTTGGTATCGGACACTTGAGTTTCGAGATGTTACGACAAATCATTACTTATTTTACTATTTCCGATACAACCTCAGTTCGGTACTTTGAAAGGTATAAATATAAAAACTGATACATGTCAAACGTGTCATATCTTGATGACACTTATATATTCCTCTGATAGAACTTACTCCACACTTACGTGTGAACATAACTAATATCAGTGACTTATGCAAGATATATAACCCACATCAAAGGACAAACAAAGTCATTCTATACTGGTTCTAACTGGTTATACAGGTTATGGGCATACATGCTTAACCTTTCTTAGTCTACCCTATATAGTTTATTTATTGTAATACATTCCCTTCCCGTTTAGTTGCCTTCACAAGGCTCAATCCTTACCGGTACAACAAACTCAGGTTTACATACAATACACATCGCTTATCATGGCACCCGTCGAAGTCTTCACCATTCCTCCTGACTTCTCCTCCCCTACTGCCGCTCGTGAATTTCGTGATACGAGTTGGCCTGGTTTTCCGCCTTACACCTCACTCCAAGAGGCCAACACACACCTCCTTAGCATTCACGGCCTGCTTTCTGACTTCAAATCTCACGGCACGTGACATTCCCGTCGTACCGCCCAAATTCTTGCACACCTTGTCGTCGCTCGCACTACCGTCAACCATCTGAAGGAACAAAGAGACCAAAAGCTTGAAGAGGCTAACAAATACAAAACCAACGCCATCAACCTTGAGTTTGATCTCAATCAACTTCGCGATCCTCACGCCAGAAACGAACGTGAACTTGATCCTTCAATCCCGTCTCGATACATGCCAAGTCAAACTCGCCAATACGGAAGATCTTCTCAACTTCGCTGTCCAGTCCAGTCATACTACAACTGATCTTCAGGATCAAATTCGTCAACTCAATCAAGAACTCTGACACCCTCAACCACGTTCGCAAATCGCCCACCTCTATCGCCGAAAAATATGGCATTACCCCTGAACCTCCTGACATCTCAGTCGTCGCTTGTCCCAAATTTAAAGACAACTACACTCGCACCAAACTTCAAGACCACACCAACTTCGGCAACTGGATCTAGTATTGTGTCGACCGTTCCATCTCCTATTCGGTTCACTTTGTGGTATCATTTAAATACAAGATGTCTTTCTCAGCATTATTTATGAACATAGACGTTCCATCTCCTATTTGGTTCGTATTGTGTTAGCACTCAATTACAATTTGTCTTCTTAAGATTCTTGATCACACAATACTCAGGCTATAAACTGGTACTGGTGGTGGTACCACTTTATATTTTGAAGCATAGACTACCCCGCACAGGGGATGAGCCGAGCTCAGTAGGTTTCTGTCCTGAGATTTTGATAAATTCATATCGCAGCTCAGTTTCGTATTTTATTTGTTGAAATGAATACGTTTCCGAATTTATAGTTTTTAGGAAATAGAGACTAAAGACCAACTTTGATTGGCTCCGACCAAGCGTGGTTTTCATTAGCACACACTGTTTTGTTTGAGAGCACTAATTTCCACCACAGAATATAGTTTTCCAATTTATCAAAATCATGACTCAATCACGCCTCACACAAGAGCATTTAACCCCCGCGGGGTTGATTAGGGTCGGCTTCTTCGTGATTTATCGCAAACTTGTGAGCATCGTATTGTTGCCCATTCTTACACATCCTCTATGTCCCTTATATTGACCCGCCATATAAAAAAAGAGCCATCGACCATTGCCGGATCTTCGATTCGTGTCGATGGTTTGCATCGGCCGTATGATGGGGTTTCACCACTTAAAGTAGAAAGCTTTAAAAAGGTTTGATCTGTTCACGAGTAAGATTCCGTTCGAGAAAGATCGGCGAGTTTATATTGCCATTATTTGATTCTTCAACTGAAATCTCTCATACCGTATCCGGATACGACTGTTGGATGCCTGCGTACAATACTTCCTTATCTCTCTGGTGTAGGTTCGACTGAAAGATTATACCATAGCACACACATCTGCAAGCTCTCCTCGGACCTGTTATCTTGTAAGCTTGCGTCAGCTGCGTATGCAAACACTAATAGGTAGTGAACGAAAGGTTTTATTTCATCCGGTGGTATCACAATGACACCAAACATCTGGACGGGTGTTCACTGGTAAGAGCTGTACGATCATCGCGTCTTTGATTTCGTCGCTTCAACTTTTATATGATCTGGTGGAGTGAGGTTTGCTGTCAGCAAGCATGATTTGACCAAAGTCCTTTAACGTTCTAGATAATTTTGCCAAACTTTTGGTACAAATAGTATCCTGTCGGTATTTCCTGATGACCTTAGCATATAGCAAGCGATAGGTACAGGTTCCCCTCGTCACCCTTGCCTGTCTCCTATACCAGTTTTGCATTTGTTTCGGCCTGTTACGTCCTATCTGTAATGCCATCAATCCTTTCTTGGTTTTGGGCCTTTAGAAAATTGGAAATCCAAAGAGGATTGGGAACTCTGGAGGGGGCAGTGGAAAGATCCTTGTCTACATAAGTCCTGATTGTAAGCTCACAAATGTTATGATTACAGGATGGATCCATCTTCAGTGAGAATTGTCCATATAATGTGTGGTGTTCAGCTATGTATGAGTTTGAAAGAATGGCTAGAAAATAGAAAAATTAAGTTATTGCCTATCATAACATATCAAACCTATTTGTACTCGTTCCATAGGGACTAGTGCTTGTTATTCAACACCTAAGTTATTTACAATAAACTCAGGTTAGGTAAACGATAAACCTCGTGGATCGATGACTAAAGCCATAATACGCTGGATTCTAGCACATGTGAGTGGTGAGGTTTGATAAAACTAGGTAGAGAAATACCCAGGTTTAGGGGTTAAAACTAAAATGAAGTACAAAGCTTGGGATTTTTTGCTCAACAGACAGGCAATCGATATGGCATATGTTCATGTTCTCGAGAAAAATGACACTAAACTACATAGTGGACAGCATTTTATAGTAATATTAAAAGCAGGCTATCCAACGTCTACAACACAGACGCTACACCTCGACGACGGCACTGCAGGTGTAACATCCTGCATCGAAATATACTGTTGTAACTCGTAGCAAAATTCAAAGTTTCGTATCTACCTTAACATCTTTCGAGGCTGCCATAATGCATGTACAAGCATATCCTGAATTCAAGCGACTCATCCGAATACACACTGAGGCAAAAATGTATTCTAAAATATTCTACACACGTTGACTGATGTTACCTATGACCCCGAAGAAAAACTCTGTGTAGCCCCAGGGTTCAATCCTTCTTTATCGCTATAGTATTATCTATTTTCAAAACATTAATGACGCTATATCGAAACACGGTATATATAAACCTCTTTCTCACAAACTGTATTTGGAACGACCAGTCCCCAAAATTATCACCCACATATCATATCACTAGATACTAAGCTCACGGTTGACTGTAACAGTTTATGCTGCTATTAAAATGAAAGCTACGTCACCATTCACGCCCCAGTAGAACGCGTGTAGAGTACTGTGATCATATCACCTGCACTCCGTTGAAATACTATTGCACCTGTTTGCTGGGCGTTATCAAGCTATAGACTATACACCGTACATGGAATCAGATACCAGCACCCATAGACACAGATAATCGTCTATTTGACCCACATAAACGCCGGCACCGCACGCACCTTAGAATTTGCCACGCGCTCGCTTTCGTTGTATAGTCCACTCGATGTGAATTTCAGATAATCCTTTTTTTTTTGCCCCACATTAACGCTGGCACCGCGCTGTAGTAGTCAAATTCCATGGCGGTATTGTAGGTAAACTTTCATTAGTGTGAACTTCAGGTAATCGTGTATTTGCCCCACGTTAGCGCTGACACTGCACTGCACCTTGCAACTTGCCACGCGCTTGCTTCGGTTGTGTGACTAGTAGTCAGTTCAGGATAATATTTTATCCTGGCCAAAAATAAATTCTTTCGAACACACCTTTTGAAAATATATTTGTGCTTTGTTTATCGTCTCTTATCCTGCACTTTAACAATCCAGTATTCAATAGCATTTTAGCACAGTCACGGCGATAGTTCCATCTCAATATTCCAGCATCATTTAACGCTATTGACACGTGTATTGTGAAACCGTATGGCAGATTGCACTTTATTGTACACCACCATTCTATTTAGAATCTTGAATAACAGAAATGACAAACTTTGTAAACTCAGCCTACATTCTCAGACTATACATCTCTCGTTCACCAAGACTGAGTCTACCAATCTGAGATCCTCACAATATAGCAATACAATTTTCTTGACATAACATTCAAATACACACATATATATATATATATATATATATATATATATATATATAGTACTATACGACGTACGTAACGAACGAACGGTAACGGTAAGGTAAGTAAGTAGTAGTATAT